TTTCGGGAGACTGAAAAACGATAGTGTTTGGATGGCGAAGAGTGGGTCACGTCCCGAAATTTATGAGCAAACCAACAGTAGACCTCTTTAGCTTGTATATTTTGCTTTCATATTGAGGATCCCAAGAGAATTCTATTGTTCATCTTTTGTTAATGATAAGTACATATACATGTGAAAAAGAGGAAATCAAAAATAAACAGCCCTCTAGAGTATTATCGCATAATCTAAATTAGTAAAATAAAACATAAAAGCTCAAGACTCTATTACTTTTATTTCGGAGCTAGAGCATGAATTTTTCCAATGAAAACTCGATTGAAGCAAATTAGAACAATCTCGTGAGTGCTTATTGATCTGAAATCATGATTCCTTAAAAGTTCCTTGAACTCAGCTTTTAAACTCTTCACGGAGGCCAATTTACGTTATCAACTGAGTTGATAATACTAAATTACCCTGTTATACTCTCCTACCGACGCAGCATCACAGTTTCCTCAGAAACTTACCCCAGTTTATCGAACTGCAAAATAGTTAAGACGTTGAGACCAATAGAAAGTAATCTTCTCATAGCCAGTCGCCTTCCAAATTAAAATGATTTGTTCAAAAAGATACCTGTCCTCTCTTTCTCTTCAATTAACTTTTGTTAGTGGTGGCTTCGAATATTCCAGCTTGCCTCCCTAGCAACGATTCTAAAAGGAGGGGCAAGTTTATCAATTACAGAATTAATCTAAGACCTGTTGCAAGTAGTCTGTTGTGTTTGTTTTGAATGCAATAAATTTATTTGTTTCCATTCCTCTTAGACTTCTCACCGAATCTCACCTACGGTACCACTGATATCATGAAGACCCTTTATGTTGTCATACTCGCAGCTTTGGTGGTTGTGGTGATGTCACGCGCTCGTCATCCGAAAATACCCTTATCGCCGCTCAAAGGTATCATGCAGTAAGAACTGCTGTGACTGACATTCTCCATAAGCAGGATTACAGTGATAATCTAAATTACAATATGAAAACTTAAAATACCTTTTTTGAATCTCCTCGAGGGCGGACATTTCTCTACAGTGGCGGTTGAGTTAGTTATAATGCTTTGGTCGAATTTTTTTTTGCTAGAATTAGCAATTCCCCACATGCGAGGTTCATAATTTTACTTGCTTCCGCTTTAGATATCTTCGCACTGATTTTAAAATCTTTCCTCTAAATCAATTTTTTTTCCTGAAGTTTCATTCCCTGGTTCAGCCCATACAGCGTAGTCCTTATACGAATCAGAATCCTTGTTGCGTATTGACTGTGTTGCAAGCATATTACGACGAAAAATATTCCTTGCAATTTCAAAAACAGTTTCTTGATTTTCATAGTTTTCCTCGCGATTAAAGAATATTTTATGACGACCAGTATTTTTCATGGTGGAAAAATCTTTGAGAACAATTGATACAAAAAATGTAAAACTTGGGATTGCAAAATATCTTGTGATTGTCCCTTATCAGTTTCCATACTACTAGGTCCTGTTCTTATTCACAAGTACGTTTAAATGATGATGCTTTGTTCCTCAGATTTTATCCTAGTTATGACTAATTGGTATTTAATGGGTCTTCTTATTTTGTCCATCATTCGACGTGCGGCTACAGATCAACTCGGTTCTTACATTGTTTTCTTACTGTTGACAATTGGAGCGCAGATTTTTAGAAAGAGCTAATGGAAAACACGTGACTATAAAATCAAAGAAAAAAGAAGCCAACTAATCCATGAGTTAGCTTGAGAAACGACCTTTATATCAAAGCCCTATTTTCGTAGGATTAAGCTAATCATTATCATAACCTCCTTAACTATAGAAGGCTCTTTCAAGGGCTCATTTATTACAAGCCCAATCTGAGTCAACTCTGTTCTGTGACAGTTCTATTAATATATTTTTACTTTACGTGATTGCCGTAAAAATTGTCCTTAAAATCCCTCGATCGCCAAATTCATTTTATACGTAACTTCCCTTGCTTACTTTTACAGAAAAGCTGGCCGATCTTGGGATAGAAATGAAAGGCAAAGACATAAGGGATTTTAAGAGAGACCCCGCTTGCAACGACGCGTGTTATGACAATTGTGAGGAAGAAGTGGAAGCTGGTGAGGCGACAGACTGCAACCATTGCTGTGAATAATATGTACCCAAATATTTTAGGTAATGCTTCCTTTTCACTTAATAGTCCATTTTACAGTTGTGTGCTTGGTTGCCAAGCCTTTAAATAGGCTAAGGTTGACCTTGTTATGATACTAACCTTGCTGCTTTTCAAACGCAGATTACTTTGTTATCATGCTAAGTAGATACTGGTCTCTGTCACAACAAGATCACCTTCAGCCTCACTCCAAATTAAAAGCTTTGAAACTAAATTCACACCTGTAAAATGGCCTTTTCCAATTGAGGTAGCTGTCACTATCTATCACATAAGGGGATGGTGGGGAGGAAATGAGAAGGATGAATAGTTTTTAGGGGGAGACGTGGAGGATCCTTGGGGGGGGGATAACATGGTATTTAGGGAAAAGGAGGGAGGACCAATCATCGCCAACAGAGTTTAAAGGTGAAAGGTGAACCATAGAACCTGACAGCAAATGAGGGAGATCATGATAATATTACATCGCGAAACAGCCACAATCCTCAAAGAGCTAACGCTCGAAACGTCAACTTTTTAACTAGTTAAGATGGCCAATTTCCGTTATCAACTTAGTTGACTATACCAAATTACCCCAGTATGTATTTATTCACTCTGAATTCCCCAGGGGTCATGTGATATTTTCCCCCATGCTAATCGGGCATCCGGCGTAATTGCATTGGCTTGCGAACAATAATGGCGCTCTACAAGGCAAGCTACAATGTAATTCTAGAATAAAAACTGTGAGGACTACTTTATTCTAAACACTATATTCTAAAATTCACTGCTCGCAAGACGATAATTACTCTTAGCCATTACTAAACATCAGTTTTTGGTATCTTTTTGAGGATTATATTCAATGTAAAACACCCCCCCCCCCTTTCCGCACCCTGAGGTAAAGTGTCAAATGTCCCCGAAAACTATTTTAAGAATTAGACGTAGACATTCTGTAATCTTATCGGCCAAAGTTTGATAATTTAAGTCTTTTTTAATTGATTGAGAAATACCGGGTACAACAAGAACTACCTTCAGGAAAGTAATCTTGACAAATTCTGATCAGGTGGCATCGTAAATCACGAGAATGTAAGAAAACATTAAAGTTAATTAGCACATCCGCTAATTATGCACTTAATGATTCTTTTAGGTTTTGTTCCGCAGACCTGGTATCGTGGAAATACCAAGGATTCACGGAGTTTCTTTGCTTTCGACTTTGTAACTCACAGTGTGTATAAGTGTGTGAATGTAGTTTATTCAACAGGCGCAAAGATTGAAAACAGAACAGCTGTAGTTAAAGGGGGTTTATGCAATGTTTGCTTGTTACATCTAAAAATGGTTCATGATAAAATGACTTTGGTTTCAAAAGAGCAACAATTCACTTCTGCATGGCAAGCTCTAACCTAGAGTGTGACTTAATTTGAATAAAATCTGAGTGATTAACGTCTTACTTGAATGTGAATTTTTAGATTTGCAATTTCCTTTGGATACAGAGATAGATTTCTCACGTCTCGTCAATATCATACCGTCACTTCCAACTTCGTGAGGAGGTTGATGTGTTTTTGCCCTGTTATCTCCATCATTTTCACCAACAACAGACGTGGAACGCCCTTCAAAATGATCTAAACCAAGTTACAGATCTTTAACCTTTTCACCCTTAAGAGTGACCAGAATTTAATTTCTCCTTTAAATATCACCCCAGAATCACAGATTAAGGTCACGAGAATAAAGGCAATGATCACCAACTTGAGAAGCTCTGGATTGTTCAACAAATTCTCCTTGTCAACACCTTAGGAAATGTATAGAGAACAGTATGGAGAATATGCATACTGATGTTAGGGTGTAAAGAGTTACAAGGACGATTCGATTGAGGCCTTAAGCTGCTGTATTTCTTTATTATTCCAAGCTTTGCCGATCTACGCCATCGTCACTGAGTGTAAAGAAAACGTTTTACTATGTGTGATATAAAAGCGACGTAAGTGATACGATTAATTAGAATATGTGAGTTGGCCAATTGTGGCGATGTTAACTCAAAACTTGTAAGGATTGGAATCTATAAGAATAAAATATATTCAAATTGTTCGTGTCAACTACACTGCTTTTATTTCATGCATGGTGAAATATTTTCTTTACATTCCCCAATGATGCCGTGGATCGGCGAAAGCTTCGGAAAAAAAAGAAATACAGCAACTCAAGGCCTCAATTGAATCGTCCATCCAATCAACATGCTACTGAAGGACAACTTCAATCATTTAAAGATGTTTTTTTAGCACTATGGGGAGAGCTTTCCCATGGGCACGCTTAAGGATGCATTAAAATGTTCCTGCATTTTCCCCTTGAGAGTCCCGGTTTCGTTTGGTCACGTGGTCGGAGAAACGAGTAAAACACCCCTAACGGAATTGATAACGAAAAGGTCCGTGGAAGAAAATGGCGTTTCTGCCGCGAGCTGCTGGTGTTTTTTCTTACGCAGATATTCTGTGGTGAAAATCACGTTTCCATCTGAATCTTTCTGTGTGTTGGACAATTTTGACTTAATCGAATGCGCGGGGAGAATGCAATTGCAAGCGTGAATACTTGCTCGAGGACGGTACACATGCCCCGTACAATGGGGCGCCTGATCATTTTCGAACATGAGCAAGTATTCATTTAAATAATATGAAAAGCAGTTGGGGATGAGTGCTTTAAATCCCTTGGCCTCACAACAGAGACGATTCACATACTGTCGTAAATATATCAATGTATATGGGTCAGCATGCGATTTTACGGCGAAACTATAACAGAGTTTAAGTAAACTTCAAATGGCAAGCAAATGCTCGAGAGTGTGTGGTAACAAAAACTAAATTGCAAAAGAAGCTTGGATTTCGATGAGTCGCAATTACTGGTGGAGTGAAGATTTATTTAAGCAGAAATGCAGAAAACAAATTGCAATGGAACTAAAACTTACATCTGTGACCTTATACCTTAACAGTCCCCTTACACACCTTAAAAATTGTATCAACATCCATGAAGCCATGAATAGTACTAATTAAACTATAAAAATCGTGCAAATTCTAAACGATTCTTCCAAGCTGAGCGAAAAATTAACGTGGTCATCCGCCGGGTCCCAGCGCTAAAGCCAGATCCCGCAAAAACTCGCACAATAGAGTAACGCAACATAGTCACGCACAGCTTCATTAGATCCAGAGTCGGGGTTCATGCTAATTACAGCAATGGCTACAGCTTGATCGGAACCCTTCTCTTTCGTTTTCAGCTTCGCAGTTTTGCCAACATGCATCACGACATCCAGGTTCTCTCTTCAAAAGAAAATTCCTTGCCTCACTCCCTTCCATTCTTATTTTATAATTGGTCATCTGTTCTGTAAATATAAAGTAAGGGAAGAGATACATTTAGAAAAATTATCTTCACGATTTCTATCTTTTCTCCATTAAAAAGGTGATATCCACAAAAGCACTTAAAACCAGGATGAAGACATTGCGACACTTTTTATACTTTGAGAATAAAATATAGGCGCATGTCAATATGGAATTTGTCTTCATGTGTTTAACTCGACGTCTCACGAGTGAGCTTAGCAAATGAGTGAGATATCGAGTTGAACACAAGATGAAAGAATTCCATATTTACAAGCAAACATGTGTTATTTTGTTTATCATATGTATACCAAGGGCCTGCCTTAACGGACATGAAAATTTCGATAAAGGACCTCGGATGAAGAATGGTGGACATTCATCAACCTATCTGATTGGCGCGGAAGGCGAGTGACGTGTCAGCAGCTGATTGGCGATATCAAACACGCGAAAAATTATCGTGATTTTACACATGTGCAGTTGCAGCATTTTTCAGAGCTGGAAATCCTTGCAAAATACTGCAGTTAATATGATAAAATTATTTAAGAAGAAATTTGCAGTAGCCAGGCGGGGGTAATTAAAAATCAGATCTCATGGATCAAGAGAGCTAGCAATGGTTTCACTCCTTATACCTTTCCGCAGTGACTCCGGTAGTTTAGGATAACGAACACGTGACGCCACCACGAAAATCATAGATGCAAGGACGACAACACAAAGGGTCCGCATGATTGCCAACGTATCTCGAAAAGCCGGGATAAAGTCTGAAAGGAAAAATGAGACAATGAATTGCTGCATTGGAATAAATGACCCACAATCTGGTCAGGCGATTCTGGTAATGTAGAAAGAGTCCGGTCTTCTTCATCTTAAGTTACTTGAACGATTTTCTGGAATTGTGCAATTCCAATTTCCCAACGTCTCATAAAAGTTTAAACCTTTGCAGCACCGTATTTAAAATTCTGAACCAAAAGCTCTGCAAAGGAGACAAAGACATGTTGTGTGATGTTTTGTTTTTTTAAAGCTTGATGAATATTAAGTGTCTGTTAATATTCTTCGTTGGTTCACTAAATCAATGGAAATAATCTTGTTGGCGACGCTTGAGGGCAGAGCAAATTATTATTCTGTTTAGGCATTGTTTATGGATGATTGAGGCAAAATGCAATAGATGAATTTCTTTCTCTTCGTTTACGATTAGTTCTTGTTCCTTTAGAAAAAAAAGCTAGAGTTGGGAAGACTTGTGCAACGATCTGTGTTCATCACTTTATGTACCGAATATTCAAATGTGTGAGCATTTTAGACAGTCATGGCATTGAGTTTTGAAGGAGAATTCAACTTGTGATCACTTTTAAGAGTAAAATGGTCTAAAACAGCGTGCCTCTCTCTTATGATGAGACTGGATGAAGGTGTACTAACAGTAATTTGGGAGTTTAAGAGGACATTATGGCGAATGCCTGAGAAAATGAGAATAAAAGAGTATTGTTTCGCCATTAAAAGTTGAAATAGAATATTTTTACTTTGGCGTTGCCAGGTCTCTCCTTCGGCATAACATGGGAAAATTTGGGTTGTTCTAAAACAATGCCAGAAAACGTACGAACTCAAGTTGTAGCAATTTTTATGTTCCAACCTTTTGAAAACGTCCTCTTCGTTCTCGTTTATGTCACCGACGTGGTTTTTCGTTCTCGACCCTAATCCTAAGCAATGGAAAGAAGCCTTTTGGCGACAGTTGGACCATAAATTACCTTCCTCCGTTGTAGACTGATGTGCTTGATTGCTTAGGTTCAATAAATTTTTATAAACTTCTAAAAAATTCGTTGAGAGGTCAGAATTCTAATGCGAATAGTGCGACAATAAAACTTTTGTCAATTTCGCAAGTCATGTTGTATAACCGTCCTTAAAATAAAAAGATATGATGGAAGAAAAATATGGAGCATCTTATCTTTATCACTGCATTCGGTTTATTTACCACCGACCGCTTCCAACTTGATTGAGGAACATTTCAGAGCTAACTTTTCAAACACAGCCAACTGATCATCATAATTATTGAAACGATACTTTGTGTTGACGAGTTAAGCAAACCTGCATATACACAGAAGCAAATAAAGATGGAATCTTACGTTCTTCGTTTGAAATAGAAATTTACATTAAAAGTTAGCTTTGCGGAGAGGCTCATACTTGACTGATAGAATATTAAATCGAATATGAACGACATTTGCTAAGCTATGAGTGTGTGTAAGCGAGTAAAAGTGCCTATGATGTCGGTAGTTCTGGGCACGTTAAATACCTAATTTGAAGGGATTTGTCAACCGAAAAGATCCATTTCCGCTGTCTAAGATAAAGAAAGTTGAGGGAGCCAATATTTTGGAAATACCCAATAAACACTGCAAAGACGTACCTCAAGCTTAAATGAACCGGATGGAGAGGTGCTACGAATAACGCAAGAGATTGATCTATCAAATACAAAGTTGCATTAATTACTATGATCTTTGAACCATTTGCTGCCGTTTCAAGGCCGCTGATTTGATGTTAAGATAACACTAATTAATGGGAATTCTCAAGGGGTGCATTGACTTGTTTTCCGACAACACATTGTTTTTTGGAGAGAGGTTCACCAACGCCCAACCCTTGACATCATGGTATGGCCAATAAAAAACTAAAATGTGCCCTTAGTTACTTTAAACAAACAGAACATGTTGTCTTTATATTTTAGACCCACTTCTTTCATTCATTAGTCTACTGTGAAGATTTTGGCATTTGCATCCTATAGAAAGTTAAATCTCTTCAAATGTCGATTCACCGCTCAGTTATGGTCGAAAAAACACGTAATTTATTTCACTTCAAAATTTGCAACTTGAAAGCAAGTAACAGACGGGGCGAACAACCAAATTATGAAGGCGTTTGGTCAAACAGAAACTGAGTCAATATTGGTGTCTGGCTTCTCCTCGTTTCTTTTTTCAGTGGCTTTCTTTCATAACGCAAGAAGAATGCGATTTTTTGGCGCCATTTGGTCGGAGGGAAATTGTGATAGCCTATATATTCTCTAAACTTGCATTGTTCCTATTATTACGTAAATTTCTTAGTCATCCACCCAACCAAACAGTTTATAGTTAAAGCGCCAACACCCGACACAAAAAGTCATTTCAACTTTGCCTGTGCTAACGGCTTCCGACAGGTAAGTTTTTTTTTTTTTTTTTTAAACTTAACTCGCTAAAGATGGCATCTGCTTGATTTCTTAAGAAATTTGCAAACGGCTCATTACGAAAGACTCGTTCGTTTAGAAAGGTTTCGATTCATGGTCCAATTAATCATATCTTTAGGAAAACACGAAGAGCAGAAGTATTTAGCAAAAGTCAGGTTTCTTTCGGAATTTGGAATTTCGGAAGTTGCTCTCTTTACCAACTGAAGTTTTATCAAATAGACGACTGGCAAGTGTCTCAAACTGTTGCACTGTCAAATATTGCAGTGATCACACTTTTAAATTTAAGCAAGCGTATTACTGAGCTTTGAGTGTGTACCAGCAATTAGCTTCTAAGTGCGAAGGTGTTAGTTAATTGGTACTTATCTTGCCAACTTAGCTTGAAATTTACCCTGCATGTGTTTAAATACTTACATCCACAAACTTCTTGGCTTCGCTAGACACCGTGTTTGAAGTCAGCAGGACACAGTCGGCCAGAATTTGTTTCAGTTTAAGCCATATTAAGTTTGGATTGGGCATGAATGAGTAAAAATAAACAAGGCTTGTAAACATTGCCAGAAAGAATATGTAGTTCTCAAGCATATTGGAAATTTTGTTCCCCATTCGCAAAATAGATTTGTTTAAATAAGGAAAAAGGAAAGAGAACTACCATTAACCTTGCTATTCTCCAGTGTCTTGCTTTACAACTAACAAATCAAATCATTCACGAGCAAAGTCATACATAGAACAAAAATTGTGGACATACTGCAAGCATTAAATGGAATGTCGCTCACAATACGCATCATTGAATCTCCCCTCAGATAAACAATTCATTGCGTAGATTTTGGCATTTGCATCATAACAAAACTAATGACAATCTCTTCAAATGTCAATTAACTGCTTAATAATGGTCGAATGGAAACATAATTTATTTTTACGTCAAAGTTTGCAACATAGAAACATGCAATAGAAATGGGCGATTGGCAAATTTATGGAGCCAATTTTGTCAGATATTAGAGATTATGTTATTTTTGGAGCTAGGCTTTTCTTTATAATTTTAAGAAGTTTTCTGTCATAAAACAAGAAGAATGCAATTTCTATTTCTGGTCGGCCATTTAATCGTAACGAACCCTTCATAACCAATACACTTTCTAAATTTGCATTGTTCTTATCATTAAGTAAACCTCTCTATCACCCTCCGAACCAAGCAATCTGCGCGCCAACTCCCGAAACAAGAATTCATTCCATCTTTGCGTGTGCTGACGACTCCCGACATATAAGACTTAGATGTTTTCACTTTGTTCTTTTATCTTTCAAAGATCACACCTGATTTCTGTCAATTTTAGAACCAAGCTTCTTTTCGTAGTTTTAAGAAGTTCTCTATCATAACACAAGAAGATTACAATTCCTATTTTGTGGCGCCATTTAATCGTACCGAAATCGTGATAACCAATACACTTTCAAAATTTGCATTGTTCCTATCATTAAGTAAATCTCTTGGTCACCCACCGAACCAAGTAATCTGCGCGCCAACTCCCAAAACAATAATTCATTTCATCTTTGCGTGTGCTGACGACTCCTTACATGTCAGACTTGAAATTTTTTAACTCTGTGCTTTGATTTTTCAAAGGTCACACCTTATTTCTGTCAATTTTGGAGCCAGGCTTCATTTCGTAATTTTTAGAAACTTTCTGTCATAAAACAAGAAGAATACAATTTCTATTTTTAGCGCCATTTAATTGTAACGAAATCGTGATAGCCTAGATTTGCATTGTTCCTATTATTTAGTAGCACTTTCTTTCAAAGATCACACCTGATTTCTGCAAAGATTGTCAAAGAGTTTGTTTGGAAAGAGCAGTTTGATAAAAAAAGATTTCGAGTCGTGGGCGTCAAATAAATAAATCAATAGAAAGTTCAGTAATTCACCCCTTCCCTCACGTTAACATTTGTTTGTGGTGACCTTGAATGTAGCCTTGCGTTGCTAATAGCGTTTCGAAAAGGAGGAGGTAAATCTTACACTGCCAGAATCACTCTGCGGCTTGCTAAATGTGGTTAGTTTTTTTGATATTCAATTAAGCGAATTTTGTTTTCTCTCATTAGATATCTCCTCGGATTTCACGTAAAGCTCCTCTGTGAACGTGAAGACCCTTTGCGTTGCCATGATGGTCATGGTGACGTCACGCGCTCGTTATCCGAAAAAAACCGCCTGTTGCCATCGATAAAACCAAAAGTTTTACAAGGTTTCATGAGTCTGCATTACGTTTTCAATGGATTACTATCGTTATATTAATACGAAGTAGTCGCTAGCTAATTTTCAATCGGATTTGTCAGGTGTAAGTCGTTATGCAAAGTCACAGTACGGATAACTTTTAGCCAGCGGAGAAATTCGGTTTTTTTTTCCTTGAGGAATACGTTTTGAGTGAGGATGTAGTTAGTGTAGACCGCAATAAAGATTTTAGCTGGTTCTGCAATTCCCAGTTTTGGTGTTCATTGAGAAATAAACAATCTAGTATTAGAATTATAATGATCATCATTATTCTAATTAACAATTATAATTATTCACCGAAAAGTAGGTGGTTAGTGGTGGATATTATCCGAGTTACAATCTTTCAAGTTTCACCCAAGTTCTATCATGGTTATGAAATAAAGACAACAAATCTAAATGCTACATTTTGGGGTATAAGGAAAAACTGGGATGGCTGCATTAAAACCAAAACAAAGAAACACGCAACAACGGGGCGAACTGAGCGTCCTAATTTATGCCTCTTATATCAGAGGTAGTGGCCTTTCAAATTCCACCTTCCTTGTTTTGTAGTTTAGGAATTCAAAGAAAAATACTGGAATTTAAAGTTGTTTTGCCCTTTTGATGCCGCCAAAAAAAGAGAACATTTTTCAACATTCATCAAAAGCCATCCGATTTCTAAAGCGGTTATGCATTTCTGAGTGAAGAGGTCGAATCGAAGATGAACCCAAACAATATATGAATACTTGACGACCCACGAAACGTGAATTAGAATTCACTTAAAAATACTTGTGGTTGATATAAAGCCATAACCCTCATGATACAGAGGCTTGTCACGGCTTGGGAAGCATGAAAATACATTGAGAGTTACCCCCCATCTAAGCATAGTGTTTCATTTCTTAAGGGAAGCAAAGAAGAGCACCAAATACTTAAAGGGAGTCCGATAGTTTAAGAATACTTTATGAATAAAGGGATAAGCTTCTAAAGAAACTGTCGTGCTGCGTCGATGGGAGAGTATGGCTGGTAATTTAGTGTTAACCAATGAGCTAAAAACGTAAATGGGCCACAGTAAAGAGTTAAAAGGCTAACGTTTCGAGCGTAAGCTCTTCGTCATAGCGATTGGTTCTTCGTTAGCCCTTCGTTCTAATAGCTCTGACGAAGGGCTAACGCTCGAAACGTCAGCCTTTTAACCCTTTACGGTGGCCAATTTACGTTTTCAACTCAATTGTTAACATTTAAATTACCTGCTAAGAATACCTCAGTTTACTGCCAATTTTTTCAACTTCGAAAAGAGAGGAATTTTATCAAATCGAAAATAGCTGCTAGTATGTTTGACTACCACAACAAAGCAAGGAAAATTTCACACCCGAAAGACAACGGAAACGTTTTAATTTCCTTCACGTTGTGAGCAGTCATGCAAATTTTTGCGAACAAAAGATAGTGTTCGAATAAAGGAAGAGTTCAGTTGACTTAGTGCACGGACAAAAAAAACGCTCTTTTGAGGCTAAAGTTCGCTTAGTTATTATTATTAAGTTTATAAGAGACTTGTAACAATATTATTCTAATTGGGTAAGCACACCAGAATGAAAAAAAAAATTTATATAGAAGACAGAGCATATTCCAACGATCCGTGAATAATCCTTCATTCATTTTCAAAGGAACCAAACCTTTCAAGAAAACCGATTCAGCAAGAGACCACTTCACATGTCACCCAGAACGCCAATTTCTTTGAAAATCGTTGATCCAAAAAAAAGCAATTACTGATACTTGTTTTACCGACAAGGATAGGGTGGTTTACTAATCACTTTCTGAAAGGTCCGACTCAACTTAATGATCATTCATTAAAATTACTGATTGAAAAATAAACATGTTTACTTTTGACTCTGTCGGAGTGTACTCGACAACAACGGTAGTGGATTCAATCAAGCAGTTCCTTAAAGTTTTCAAAATAAATGAAACATCAGTTTTCCAAGCGTATTAACATATCAAAACACAGATGAATGGAGGAAATGTTCCCACTACAAAAATGAATGGG